AACTTCTAAGTGCACCAGTTTTAGTAAATCTTTCCCTATACATCTGCTTTATGAGTAATAAGAAACTCATTTAAAGGGTAAGAATGTATTATAACATAAAATGTGATCAAATTTTTGCTTGTGGTCAGCCTGTACTAGATGGAATATGTTGACATCCCCATGCATGGTGTTTCTGCTAGTCCATCAAGGATTCTCATTACTTTACAATAGAGGAGCCTTAAGTCTCAAGTGTTCAGGATGAAGGTTGCCATAGTAGTATATGTAGTTTGTGTCAAAGTAGTGGCTTAGGGGACACTTTATGAACACAGTGCCTCCGCAACAAGCACCATACAGTGCAATTGGCAATTAGCTCTTGCAGGAGCCATGGACAGTTGGGACTCAGTAACAAACTGCAAGGTCATTATTAAGTGTTAGTAGCAATATTAGGTCTTCAAACTCCAGTTTTGTAGTTCTTTACCACTACATTATCTCTACATCAATGTAGCTAATATGGGGTTCGATATGTGAAGATATTTATTTAATTTAGGACAACAAAAACGCAGATTAAAAAAAACAAAAAACAAAAAAAACTATACATCGATTTAGAAAAAATATTTGCATTGCTCACCATCATTGCATATGTATCTTAGCCTTTTGAACCATGGTAATAATTGTAGAATTATTTCTTACATGTGTACATTTATTGAGAAATGTTATAGTTCTACTTACAAAAGATTCCATTACAGCTGAAGTGAATGTTTACCTCACTAGCTTCATATATTAAAGTAGTCATTTTCAATTATCTCGGTTGCTCTGTGTGTCAGATGTTGTCGATTTGTATTGTATTTCATCCTTAATCCTTTTAAATAGGCTGTGCATCTATCATTAGTAAAATTGTGTATAGAAACTTTTCTTTTTAACAAAGCCACATAAAGTGTCCAAAGTATCATAAACACTCCCCCCTCGTATAACCCAATGTTCAGCAAAGTCTCTTTATTTTCTTCTTTCAGCGACAAATCTTTTCCTTAACACCCGCAAATTCTGATGACAATATACCTCAAAAGAAAAAACTTAACATAGTGTCATACCTTTTTAAAATTTAAATACACACGTGCCCCTTCCAGTGCAACATGCAATACTTGTGAACAAGCAAAGAAAGAAAAAAAAAAAAAAAAAAAAAAAAGGAATAATAATTTTTAATCTATATGCGAATACCTGAATATACGCATATATTTAAATTCTCTATATAACCAAATCCTTAGTCAGTGAAACACTCACACATCGTGTCCACTACAATCTGTGTAAACAGCTCAGAAATATCGCTGCAAATGTGTAACACCACACTATAAATGCATCAGTGATCACCTTACACCCTACACACCCCCAAACCAAACAATCTCCAACTCGTGTGCTAATGGATAATTACCCTATATACCAAAAGATAGGGCATAACACAAATCTGGATTCACTTCTTAACTGTAGAATTCTATCCAGTATTAGATCCAATATTAACATTTTTCTTCCATTCTCCTCGTAAGAAAAACCGCAATTATATATAGTAAATTCAATAAAATAACATTCTTTATTCAATAACTCACATTACAATTAGGATAAGGCAGCTCCTCCTCATAGAGATACACATGCAGACTCCAGTTTCACTGACTAAGGATTTGGTTATATAGAGAATTTAAATATATGTGTATATTCAGGTATTCGCATATAGATTAAAAATTATTATTCCTTTTTTTTTTTTTTTTATTTCTTTCTTTGCTTGTTCACAAGTATTGCATGTTGCACTGGAAGGGGCACGTGTGTATTTAAATTTTAAAAAGGTATGACACTATGTTACGTTTTTTCTTTTGAGGTATATTGTCATCACAATTTGCGGGTGTTGAGGAAAAGATTTGTCGCTGAAAGAAGAAAATAAAGAGACTTTGATGAACATTGGGTTATACGAGGGGGGAGTGTTTATGATACTTTGGACACTTTATGTGGCTTTGTTAAAAAGAAAAGTTTTTATACACAATTTTTGATTAACCTTCAGGGGTGGAGGTGGATTACTTTTCTGGGAATCTTTGTGCTGTGTATTGGAATATATATATCGTTAGTAAACCCCATCACAAAATGCACCCTGAACATTTTGTGCATTAGCAAGAATTCACTAAGCTCTCTGAAAGGAGAAAAATATTTACAAGTTGGATATACACTGTGCTACATTTAGTTGTCATGGAGGCATTCAAAGATTAAATAAAAAAAAAATCTTTGTTTACATATGTAATTGCCTCTGTTTAACTGGAAAAATGTTATGTGCCTTTATTTTAATTTGTCTTCAGTGTCAACCACATGCTTATAAAAATGCTGCAGTAAAGAGACAAAAGTCTCAAAATAGTAATTGCATATTTTTGGATACTTAGTGAAAAAGATGTCTAGATAAACTTAAAAGTTAAGTACTACATAGTCCAAACAAACAAATGAAAGACTGTTCATCATTTTGTTTTTTTTTATTTTGAAATGTTCTGATTTGAAAAAAAGTCAAATAGCTCTTTGAATGCGATATACTCCAAAAACTTATCAGTCATCTGTTATTGTAGACATCTATGTTGAGCAGCCTGTAGTTACAAAAATATTATATATATATATATATATATATATATATATATATATATGGCAAAACATATTTGAGCCCCTTGGAATTAACGGGTTTTCTGCAGTAAGTTGCTATAAAATGCTATCTGATCCTCATCTAAGTCACTGCACAATATGCTCAATGTGCTTAAACATGAACAGTTCTAATTTCTTGTGTCTTTATTGAACACACCCACTACACATTCACAAGAGGAAAAAATAAGTGAACTGACAGACTAGTTACTTCCAAAAAGCTAATTAGAGTCAGTAATTTTTATACCTGCAGTTCAATTAATAAAATTGTGTTTTGGGGGGCGTGTGGTCTAACTGCAGCCCAAGATGGCCACCTAGCTTCTCTGTTCTGTCCCAGCTGTGACAGAAAAAAACAACTTCAGAGAGCCAGTGACCACATCGAACACCTCCAAAATGGAGGTACTGGTTCTGGAGACCCTCCTGGACATGTCCCGCTCCTCAGACATGCTGACAGTCACACACAGAGCAGGAGATGGCTGCTCTTAGTGACATGGAGGAGGACATTGCACGAGGGAACCCTGAGCTGGCTCAGGACATCCTAGAGAAAGGTAAGAGAGCAGCAGCATCACCTGCTTGCTCCCCAGCTATGTCCCCTGCATACAAGAAGCAATATTGGACAGACTCAGAGCCCTCTGACTCAGCAGCAGAATCTCCTACTTCCTTAGCTACCTTCCCTACATCAAACAACCCTGCATCTGAAAACACCCTCAAATCTATGCTTCTCACGCTACAAGCAGACATGCAGAATCTCCCTCCAACAAATACATCATAGAATGCAATACATAGAAGAGCGCACAGACAGACACAATAGAACAACAGATGTCTGAAATAGCTCACGCTCACAATACGGTTGTCGATACCCAAGATGACCAAGCTGCCATTATTCAACAAATTCAACTTAAGCTTGCAGATCTTGAAGATTGCTCTAGGCGGAACAATTTAAAATTCAGAGGAATGCCTGAACCATTAAACCCGCTGACCTACTCTTATACCTACAACAGCTATTTCATACAATTATACCCAACCTCTCAACTCAAGAACCCACAATCGATCGGGAACTCAGAATTCAAAAACTGAAACACTTGCCAGATAGTGTATCAAGAGATGTCCTAGCTAGGATACACTTTTTCCACATTAAGGACAGACTGCTAAAAGCAACTAGACCCACTAACGCCATTCCAGAGCCCTACGCAGCAATTTCTATTTTTCCAATATCTTGGCTGCCACAGCCCGAGCAAGAAGATCATTCGCTCAGGTCACCTCCATCCTACAGGAAAAGCTCATCCCATATCGCCGAGGCTTCCCCCCAAAATTATTAGTCTCGTATCAGAATCAACTAACCACCTTGCTAACGCCAAAAGATGGCCTAAAACAACTACACAATTGGGATCTCACTTCTCAGATTCCACCGAAAACCCCTCTACCCAAAAGGTCTCCGAAAGTTCCTGATTCCAGATCTAACATACGCAACCCACACCAGGATATAGCCATAAACTGATCTCAGGACTGCCTATATTAGCACTGGCACCTTTTCCCAGCTGCCCTTAGTGCCCTCTGGGATGATTAGAAACTCTATGTGTTGGTATAACCACCCTCCGTTAGTTTTATCATGCTAAGCACGTTTACTTACTCAGTTATCCACTCAGTTTTGCGTTTTAGCACGCAATACCATTATTTACATTGCATATGTTCATTTGTTATTGTGTATTCCAATATTGAAGTATCTCAGTATTATTCTTATGTCTGCTACTTAACTAGCTACATTCATTTGATGTATGTAACAATATACTATCACCAGCTTATCAACAGCCTAATCTTGTCTACTTGTACAGTGAATTGTACAATCCCTGCTCCGTACCAAGGTAAACATTAGCCCTCACACTCCAACATGTTCCTAACTATTACTACTATCAGTGCCAAGGGCCTTAACCACCCCTACAAGCATTCCTTATTATGGAAAGAAGCTATCTCACAAAACACAGACGTCCTTTGCGTCCAAGAAACCCAGGTCTTTAGCTATTGATTCTACAGACAATTGGTGTCTTCAGTGCACTGTGCACTTCAGCATGCTCTGACCCACTCCGTCTTTTTATGTGGCCTACCAATTGGTGGCTGAGTTGCTGTTTTTCCAAGTTGCTTCTTCTTTGTTAAAATACCACTAACAGTTGACTGTGGGATATTTAGTAGCAAGGAAATTTCATGGATGGACTTATATTGCACAGGTGGCAACCTATCATGGGACCACGCTTGAATTCACTGAGCTCCTGAGAGTGACCCATTCTTTCACAATTGTTTGTAGAAGCAGTCTGCATGCCTCGGTGCTTGATTTCATACACCTTGGTTGATGGTGGTGATTGGATCACTTGAATCCAATGATTTGAAGGGGTGCTCCAATACTTTAGGCAATATAATGTATATATATATATATATATGTATATATAAAAGACAATTGTTTTTTTGGCTCTCAGTGCTCTTTCTTTCTCTCTCAAGTTCAGTCCTATGATTGCCCTTTCACACAGACTACTGATTGCTATGTAAACATACATAGTGACAGATAGTCATGGTCCAATATTGTTACCATCAGGAAGCCCACCTTGAGAAATACCGTGTATCCATCACTGCATGCATGCAGGAAGTGGCTGCAAGGAGACTGCATAAGTTTAACAGTACTGAGATACAACAAAGGAAAAAAAGGTGAAAACAAATATTTTATTTAATAAAATGATAACTCTTTAAACTGTTAAACAGAGCATAAACATATCAGATGTCGTTTGGTTAGGGTTTCTATCGGCATATATCCATAAGAGGAAATTTCTAAAATAAAGATCAAAATCCAAGAGCAACCAGATGAATTTCAACTTAGTGTAGTGAGATCTATACAAGGTCAATTTTGATTGTGCGGTATTGGTTCACCAGGCTTTCCTTTAATTGTAATTCCTTTTTATTCATTTCCAAAACAACAGTTTAACTTTGATAATGGAGAATGAAGTCAACATGTTCAAAATCCCTCACCAATGCATACATTCCACATATATAGTAACTGAATGTTTGATGTTTGCTCTCTTGAAGACAATCTTTAGGAATTAGGTAACAAGATCTGACCTAACAATGCGTTTACACTTAACTTTTATTATCATACACTGTATAATTATTTTCTACTCAAGAAAGAAAAAATGTTATCTTCAGCTTACAGAAACTTTTCTGCAGGGTCTAATTTTAATTTAATAGGCAAGCATTTCACTGACCAACAATTAATTATAGCCTGTTCTATGGTCTTTTTAAAGATAGTAATTCTGTAGTCTCAGCCATATTGCTATTCAGCTTTGCTCTTTTAATAAGAATGGGTTGTCATAATCACAATACTCATTGTCATTACAAGCTCTTTGAATCAAAGCAAGCTCTTTGGATAAAAATTAAGGACATAGAGAATGAATATTCCTGTGGTAACATGTATTTATTATATATGTAGCTCAATTGTTGCCATTATTCACTACTACATTACCATCTCCAGCTAATGCTCCTATCAATAAGCACCAGGCAGTGTCCCTCAGACCTAGAAGAATTTATTTTACAGGTAAGGCAAAGTAAAAACTGCGTAACCACTCTGTTACACCTTTAACAATCTCGACATCCCAGCATGCATTCAAACATTACACATAATTATACTAAAACATATCCATATTTTCATAAAGCCATATATCCCTTTTCTCCTACAATAGCAACAGGTATATTAACCTTATCAATATTGCTCATAGGTTCAGGGATATCAATTGACTATTCCAGTATAAAGTTCAATTTGTACACATATACACGTTTGGTTTTATCCTAAAACATCCAGTTTCAATCGAAAACTGGAATATGTATAAAACTTCACAATGAACCCCTGTAGAGGGGCTGTTTGTGCCCACTCCTCTTTCCACTGGTGCTAGATAAGATTCTGTATTAACAGTGCAAGTGTAATAAATGCTAGAGCAAGCGGTCAAGCCATACTGCCTTATAGTACGTGTTGAATAAGCTGCAGCAGCTTTGCAGCAAATACTGGACTTGGATGTCAAGTTACAAGGGTTGTATAATGAATGATGTGCAAAGCAGTCAGGCCACTCCTGCGATGTTGTAGAGATTGAACTTCAAAAGGAATTTAGTGCCAGTTTTATAAACTACATTCTAGGGTACATGGCTATAGCTGAGAGACTATCCTTATTCACTTATCTCCAAAGCTGTGTTCTGGCATAGCTTGGTAAAAATCATGCATTTAAGCACATGCGTACTTACACAGGTTTTGTATTGCAAAATAAAAAGACCAGGGGTGTGTCCAACCAGGTCTGTGTGAATCAGAACTTTTGCTGATGGCATCAGTTTGAAATTCTTTTGAGATTATTTATTTAAAGTTGTATTTTACCAACTATTGGCCTCCTTCTGACATTTATGTAACCTGCTTCAAGCAGATTTTACATTCCCAATGACTTGTATCAGAACAGAAAACCCAGTTGTAAAGTACAAATCCTTACTGCGTACAATTCTGGTGCCTATTGAACTACATCATGTTATTGAGACACCCTGCACAACTGCTGAAGTAGGAAAATGGGAGGAAAACTAATTTTGTTAGGCTTTTAATGCCATCTGTATATTCACCTAACAAAATGTAAAATATCCTATAATGTATTTAATAGTTAATTAATTTCAGAAATTAATGAAAGATTAGTTTACTATATGCAGCAGCATATTTCACTTTGCTAAAATTTACTTAGGTGCTTCAGTCATTCTGATTGTCAGCGAAACAGCTCCTTGACACATTATGCTGAAGAAATAAGGACACTGCTTTGACAGCACGTGTCTGCTTCCTGCATATATTAAACTGTTATTTTAAGACAGTTCTTTAGAAGAAGAAAAAAAAAATCTAAAAATTAATTTTACACATGACAGGAACCGTTTTTCATACCCTTTCCTTGGTGAATAAATGAAATTACCAGCAGGACTTATGTAAAGATCAACAAAAGTAAAAATGTGCTTTTTTAACATCCAGATTTTCTTTTCTTTCTATTATTCCCTTTTAAAACACACACCACTAAGGGAAACAGTGGAATACCATGCTTTCAGATGATTCTTTCTTTATTGCTACACAGTATTAAAATCCTGTTCATTATTTCCCATTTATTATATCACTGTACAGTACAATATGAATTCAACTCATTCCAATAGTCGCCTTATTTAATGTATAGCCTCCCTCTAAACTCTTCCCTTGAGGGTTTCCCTGTACAATCTACACCTGCTCCAGTCCCGAGGTGTATTGTGTCCTCTCTGACAGATGGAAGCTTTCACAACAGCTGGGAGGGTATCAAAATATTCAGTTCTCAGGTTTAACAATATATTGTACCTGAGCGGCTGGGATGGCATGATTCCACTCAGATGCATCATACACAGCATCCTCTTAAAAAAATTCAATGGGTAAGCCACGTAGGTAAGAATTTGAACTTCTCTCAGATCTTGGTTGCCATTTATTACCCCATGTAGATTTTCTCCTGCTTTCTAGCTAAGGGGAAAATATCAGACAGAACTAGCAGTAAAGTGAAAGCCGCCCAGTGGATAGAGCAATAAAAACTTGACAGAGGTTTTAACATTTCTTCAAAATATTTTAAATTGTAGGAAAATATTTTGACTGGGAGATTTAAGTACCTTGGGGGTATGAGATACAATCTAAAACACCTCTTCTAAGGTCCTAGGCATCTTGTACGTATCATAAGTAATGGCCACATTTTTGATGAAACAACAGGCCCATAGCTGAAATGTAAAATTGATGAAGTTGTATAAAGGCACAGGCTTAATGAAGTTTTCTTTTAGAATTAAAAGTAAAGTGGTCAATATGAACACTATCAAAATTCTTTAATAAAGCATACAGTGTTACTCTGGGTTTTTCATTGCTGTAGGACCTCACTACGTAGGCAGACCATAGATTATGCAAATTTTGTTTCTTCCACCACAGGTGGAAGGAAAGAAGTACGCCTTCCAGAGCACTATTTTGGTGCGTGCGGAGTTTTCCAAAATTATTTCACAAACTATTGTTGTGCCTTCACACAATTAAGAGTGTTGCCAGCCATAGCGGGTGGTACAAATTGTTCAGGAAAAACCCAACAGGCTGGGGTGCCCATACATGGATTGATATTTGGCTGGTCCCTGCTGAACCATCTGAATTTCTCTCAATTTATGACTGGCTTTTAAGTGTATGTACTGTATGTTGTAAGTCCAAAATTGTCAGCCTTGAACAGGAAGTATTTCTCAAGGGTGTCCAGGTAAGGCATTTTGTAACAGATTTGAAAAAAAACTGTTTTCTTCAAATATATTGAAAAAAGTTTGGGTTTATATACAGTACACCGTTCCCTTTGTGCAGAGTTGTGGAATAGCCCTTACTTTCTTTTTTAATATGTGTCTGACCCATTAGTAAACACTTTGATGTACTGTATGAAGACTGCAAATAATACATTATTTTATGTTTGTAGAAATTCATTGGATTTTCTAGAAAAAAAATTGGCTTCGGAAAGCACAAAACTGAACTCTGGCCCTAAATACAGACATGAAAATAATGTTTGATACACACACAAGGATTTTTATGGAGTATAAATGCCAACCTGGTTAAGTGTACTGCATGCCTTATATAGCAGACAACCAAAAAAATAGAGTAACCATGTTAAATTTTAATGTACAAAAATCATATAAAGTAATCTTATCTAAAATATCATTTAAAATAATATAGAAAACATTATAGACAACAGTTAAACATCATGCGACTATCCACTCCATTGACCGACAACCCAGGCGTAGGTAGAGGGGTGGACAGTCAATTTATGTTCACATGATGTCTATAATGTGTTTTATGTTATCTTAAGCAGTTAATTATACAATTAAATATGTTTCAAAAGGAATTAGCATCCAATACAGGATTTGTGTACCTTAAACGCCCACATGGTTATTCTTTACTCTTTAGTTGTTGTCTAATGCAATTTTAAAAAAATAGTTATTAACATTTTTTATGTTGTTCCCACCTCTAAATTACAAACAGTCATGTCTTTATTATCAAATGTTATTATGGTTCACCATCTATTTGTCTTGTCTGATCCCAGACATTGTTAACACAATTCTTAAGTGTAATCTTGTTATCATAGGGCTCACTGCTTGAAGATAGAATACCTCGTCAAGCTTTGGGTGTAAGGCAATTTTTCTTCCTGAAGAAACACACCTCTTAACTAACAGAGCAGCCTTCATGGTGGTAGCAGGATTACTCTCTGAGGAGACTGTTCTCCTTTGAAAAGCAAATCAATGCAACAGGAACACTAGAAACTGAAGGAAATGAGCACAGAATGAAAGATAATAATGCCATCTAAATGTGTTAAAAGACTGGTGTCTTAATCAATTGTTATTTAAA